GCTGTGGACGCGGTATACTTGGACAGAGGGGTGGCTGTGGACGCGGTATACTTGGACAGAGGGGTGGCTGTGGACGCGGTACACTTGGACAGAGGGGTGGCTGTGGACGCGGTACACTTGGACAGAGGGGTGGCTGTGGACGCGGTACACTTGGACAGAGGGGTACACTTGGACAGAGGGGTGGCGGTGGACGCGGTACACTTGGACAGAGGAGTGGCGATGGACGCGGTACACTTGGACAGAGGGGTGGCGATGGACGCGGTACACTTGGATTTTGCAAAAGCGTTTGACATAGTTCCCCACACACGGCTAATGTGTAAGGTAAAGTCTACGGGCTTGAAAAATCCATATGTAAATGGATAGAAAACTGGCTAAAAGATGGTATTCAGAGAGTAGCGGTTAATGATTCATACTCTGAATGGTCTCGGGGTGTCAGTGGTGTACCCCAAGGTTCAGTGTTGGAACCCTTACTTTTTAATATATTTATAAACAATATAGGGTTTGGGATTAAAAATCCCATTTCAGTCTTTGCAGATGACACCAAGCTGTGCAGTGGAATAACGTCCTTACAGGATGTCTCCAATTTACAAGCCGACCTCAATGCACTGTTTAATTGGGCAACTATGTGGCAAATGAGGTTTAATGTTGATAAATGTAAGGTTCTGCACTTGGGGGCTAAGAATATGCATGCATCATACATACTAGATGAGTACAACTGGGGGGGTCAATGGTGGAAAAGGATCTGGGAGGGTCAATGGTGAAGGATCTGGGGGTTCTGGTAGATCACAAGCTTAATAATAGCATGGAATCCCAAGCTGTGGGTTCTAAAGCAAGCAAAATCCTCTTGTATTAGGAGAGGTATAGACTCCAGAGAGATATAATTTCCCCCGGTACAAATCATTAGTATTACCTCATCTGAAATATGTAGTTCAGTTTTGGGCACCAATTCACAAAAAGAACATTGGGGAACTGGAGAAAGTGCAGAGAAGGGCAACCAAACTGTGGACACCTAACCATCACACCTACCTACCTGTACAAGGCCTGAAGTATGTGGACACTTGATCATCACACTGACCTATATGGCTCAAACTATGTAGACATCTAACCATCAAATCTACCTATATGGCCCAAAGTATGTGGACATCATACCTACTGTACCTACAGTTGTGCTCTAAAGTTTGCGTACCTTGGCAGAAATTGTGAAATTTTGGCATCAATACATGAATATATATATGACTGATCGTGCCAAAAAACTGTCTTGTATTTAAAGATAGTGATCATATGAAGCCATTTTTGATCACATAGTTGTTTGGCTCCTTTTTAAATCATAATAACAGAAATCACCCAAATGGTCCTGATGAAAAGTCTCCATCCCCCGGATCAGAAGTCTCTCCCCCCTGGAATGTTTGGCCTTGGTACACACGCAAGGTGACACACATACGTTAAAATGGCAATTAAAGGTTGATTTCCCAAATTTGTGGCTTTTTAAATTGCAATTAGTGTCAGTGTATAAATAGTCAATGTGTTTGTTAGCTCTTGTGTGGATGCACTGAGCAGGCTAGATACTAAGCCATGGGGAGCAGAAAAGAACTGTCAAAAGACCTGCGTTACAAGGTAATGGAATTTTAAAAGAGATGGAAAAGGATCTAAAAAGATATCCAAAGCCTTGAATATGCCAGTTAGTGCTGTTTTAATCACTTATTAAGAAGTGGAAAATTTGGGGATCTCTTGAGAAAAAGCCAAGGTCAGGTAGACCAAGAAAGATTGCAGCCACAATTGCTTGAAGAATTATTCAGGATGCAAAAAAGTCCACAAGTAACCTCAGGAGAAATACAGGCTGCTTTGGAAAAAGGTGGTGTGGTTGTTTCAAGGAGCACAATATTACGATACTTGAACAAAAATGAGCTGCATGATCCAGTTACCAGAAAGAAGCTTTTACTGCGCCAATGACACAAAAAAGCCCGGTGAGACCTGTCAAGGTGTTGTCAGGCATATTGTAACCGCGCTGTTTTGTGGCATTGGTGCAGTAAAGTCTTCTTTCTGACAACTCAATAATGCAGCTTATTTTTGTTCCAGTATCATCGTCTTGTGCTCCTTAAAGCAACCAACACCGTCTTCTTTTCCAGAGCAGCCTATATTTCTCCTGAGGTTACCTGTGGGGTATTTCTTTGTATTCCCAACAGTTCTTCTGGCAGTTGTCTGTAATCTTTTATGGTCTTACTTGGCCTTGGATTGTTATTAAGAGATCCTATTTTAACCTGTATGTGTTACTTTGTGTGTCTGTACCAAGGCCCAACGTTCCAGAGTATGTAAATTTTTGGTCAGGGCCATTTGGGTGATTTCTGTTATGATTTACAAAGGAGCCAAAAAACTGTGATAATAGTTGGTTTCATATGATTACTATCCTATAAAAAAAATGGTTTTTTTTTGGCATGATCAGTCATATTTTAACCACCTCCCGTCCGGCCCATGTATTTAAATGTCTGGACGGGAGCAGTGCTGGGGCGGGTGGCCATTTATAAACGGTCTCCCAGCCCCCTGCTTGTGCACGCTCCCTGGGAGAGCATGGCACCACGATCCTCCGGACACAGTGGAACACTGATCGTTGTATGGGACCTCTGTGTGAGGTCCCGATCATGTGATCCCTGATTGGCCAATCGGTGATCACATGAAGAGTAGTAAGCAAGATGTCACTTCTGACATCATTGCTTACTACGTGTGAAATCTGAATGATCACATGGTACACGGCCATTCACAACAGCCTTGTACCCATGTGACAAGCTGTGACCAATCACAGCTCTCACAGTATTTCTCAATGACTGCAAGAATGCAGCCAGAGAGAAGGTGAAATGATTGCTTTTACAGCCTTTATGGGTGTAAAAGCAATCGGTGTAAAAAAAAAACAAAACTTCATAACCCCCCACAAGCAGTACAGTGTCACTATGGTGACACTGTACTGCTAGGGTGACTGTATGTAAAAAAAAATCAATAATATAAAAAAATAAATTCTGAAAAATTATAATTTTTGGTTATAAACCAATTTTTGGGTTTTTTTTTTTTTTTTTTTTTTACTAAAAAGATAACTGAATAAATGTTGGCCAAGATTTATGAAGAAAGGAATACTTATTTGCAAAATTTTATAAGCAAAACACTTTTTTTTTAATTTTTGGACTTTTTCATTTATATAGCAAAAATAAAAATCCCAGTGGTGAATAAATACCACCAAAATAAAGTTTTATCTGTCTCAAAAAAATTCATACGGGTACAGTGTTGCATGACCGCGCAATTGTCATTTAAAGTGTGATAATGCTGAAAATTGGCCTGGACAGGAAGGGGGTGAAAGTGTCTGGACTTGTAGTGGTTAAATATCAATGCTAAAATGTCACGATTTTTGCCAGGGTATGCTAACTATTGAGCACAACTGTATATGGCCCAAAGTGTGTGAACACCTGATCATCACACCAACTTATGTGGCCCAAAGTATGTGGATACCTCTCCAAATGGTTGATCGGAGTTTTCAGTGACCGATGTGTATAATGTTCAGCATACAAAGCCATTTTAGACCATTGTGCTTCCAACTGTGTGGTAACAGGTTGTGGAAGGTTCTTTTCTGTCTTGTTTTCTGCTGTGGTTTGACAAGTGGGAGATGTAGGAACGGAACTTGAGTGGGTTGCACAGAGCCCTACAGAACACCTTAACATGACTTTTCAGTACAAGAGATTCTTGTCCAACTTTAGTATCTGACCACACTGTTTTCCAAAGATTTGTGACTTCTAGTAGCAAGAGGGTTGGTGGCAACTGTATAATAAATTATGGCCTTGGCTTTGGAAGGGCACATCCAGCAAGCTCATGTAGGTGTGATTGTCAGGTGTGCGCAAACATTTGGCTGTATAGTATAGGAACTTGCGCTATTTTAGACAATTGTGCTTCCAACGGTGTGGTAATAGGTTATGGAAGGTTCTTTTCTGTTGTGGTTTGACAAGTGTGAGATGTAGGAACTTGAGTGGGTTGCACAGAGTCCTACAGAACACCTTAACATGACTTTCGGCACAAGATCTTCTTGTCCAACTTTAGTATCTCACCACACTAATGTTTTATGTATAATGTTCAGTATACAAAGGCATTTTAGACGATTGTGCTTCCAACTGTGTGGTACCAGGTTATGGAAGGTTCTTTTCTGTCTGGTTTTCTTTTGTGGCTTGACAAGTGTGAGATGTAGGAACTTGAGTGGGTTGCACAGAGCCCTACAGAACACCTTTTTAACATGACTTTTTGGAACAAGCTCTTCTTGCCCAACTTTAGTATCTGACCACACTGTTTTCCAAAGATTGGCGACTTCTAGTAGCAAGAGGGTTGGTGGCAACTGTATAATATATTATGGCCTTGGCTTTGGAAGGGCACATCCAGCAAGCTCATGTAGGTGTGATTGTCAGGTGTGCGCAAACATCATCTGGCTATACAGTATAGGAACTTGTGCTATTCAAGCCGCATAACTGCAGTGCCTCTTCTTGTGGGGGACATGGTTGGTCTTTCCATCACACTTGACTAATGTAATGCAGCCTTGTAATTCATTGCACAATGACCTTATTAGATATGTGATATCAGCTTGTGTCCTGGTGCATTCTTATTGGAGAACTGTTGTCTTGCTTTTTGACTGATGCATCCTTTGATGTGAGCAATCTGCAATGGGGAGGTAACTTGATGATATGCAGGTGATCATGCAAATGTAGAATGAGTCACAAATTACAATCTGTACCTCTGTAGTGTAGAAAATATTAGAACATGTAATCATGTATTTATATACATTGTATATCATATATAATAAATTTTATATATATATATATATATATATATATATATATATATATATATATATATGCTCTATATATTATTAATAATAATTATTGTGTTTGTTGCTTAAAGTGTTTTTTCTTTTTCCCCAGACCCAGGATACAGATGACCCAGAAGATGTTGACATTTCCATTGATAATGCGGCCTTTATGGATGACTTCTTTGCCCAGGTGAGAAGATGGCAACGACAAACAATTACTTTAGGCCCAACTCTAGAAATTGCAAAAAATTCCACCCTTTCGGTTCTTTCCCTCGCAGAGTTAGTTGCTTGTTAAAGCAGAGTTCCACCTGAAGAAAGAAAGTCAGCAGCTACAAAAACTGTAGCTGCTGACTTTTAAAATACAGACACTTACCTGTCCCTCGGTCCAGAGGTGTCCTCGCCACCGCTGGTTTCACTGGCCGTGTTTTCTCCCTGGCACCGGCATCTTCGGTGTGGGCACCCAGCTGTGACAGCTTGCAGCTTCACAGCCGGGTGCCCACTGCTCATGCGCAAGAAGCGTTGCGCTTTGTGAATGGTTCCCTCATCTTCTGGGACCTGTCACGTGTCCCAGAAGACTATGGGGAGGGAGGGGGAGGGCAACTTCCACTTCTGATAACCTAGGCGATCGCAGCGGGAGTGGGAGCAGGTATCTGTGAAATTCGCCAATTACTGAACCCTCTATCATTGAACTGGCACCAATTACTGCATCTTCCATCAGTGACCTGGCACCAACTACTGCACCTTCCAGCAGTGACCTGGCACCAACCACTGCACCTTCCAGCAGTGACCTGGCGCCAGCCACTGCACCCTCCGTCACTGATCTGGCGCCAGCCACTGCACCCTCCGTCACTGATCTGGCGCCAGCCACTGCACCCTCCGTCACTGATCTGGCGCCAGCCACTGCACCCTCCGTCACTGATCTGGCGCCAGCCACTGCACCCTCCGTCACTGATCTGGCGCCAGCCACTGCACCCTCCGTCACTGATCTGGCGCCAGCCACTGCACCCTCCGTCACTGATCTGGCGCCAGCCACTGCACCCTCCGTCACTGATCTGGCGCCAGCCACTGCACCCTCCGTCACTGATCTGGCGCCAGCCACTGCCACTGCACCCTCCGTCACTGATCTGGCGCCAGCCACTGCACCCTCCGTCACTGATCTGGCGCCAGCCACTGCACCCTCCGTCACTGATCTGGAGTAAAATACAACATTGCCACCATTTACCCCGACTTAATGGCACTGGGCGTCACTGATGCTGCACACCTGTTAAATCTCTACCGCTGATCTGCAGCATACTATTACGCATCACTGCACCTCTGTGCACTCCTGCTCTTATTCTGTTCGATGAACAGGAACACCTTTTGCACATTTAATCCTTTCGGTAAAATACAGTTTTTATTGATCCCTGTGTCCACATTGGAGAGAGTCCCTCATTTCCTGTCCTCTGTGGCACACAAAGTGAGGTAACCTCAAAACCAACAATAAAAATGTGACCCTTTACATTTACAAAAATGTTGGCTGCAGTACAACTTCATGAAAATGTTCTATAGTTCCCCCGTTATCTGCTATCTTCTTATATTTTAATTATGATTTTTTTTCTTTCTTTCTCTCTGTAGATTGAGGAGATTCGGGTGAACATTGACAAGATCTCAGAAAGTGTAAATGAGACCAAGAAACTGCACAGCGTCATCCTATCGGCGCCTCTTCCTGAGCAGAGTGTGTAAATGTCTTTGGCTATCGTGGTGTCCTCACATGTCACCTTGCATGGTCCTCTTCTGTCCAAGTCCATGCCATATCTAATGCATTTTAGGGATAATATAAAAAAACTCAGGGTATCATTTGTTTAGGCACAGTAACAGAAAAAAATATATGGTGGATTCCAATAACGACCAGATTGTAGGGATCCCTCAAGGTTCCGTCCTTGGACCCCTACTCTTCTCCATCTATACCTCCTCCCTTGGTCACTTGAAAAACTCCAATGGCTTTAAGTATCATCTCTATGCTGGTGACACACAAATCTATCTGTCTACCCTTCACCTCACCCCTTCAGTCTCCTCTCGCATTACTAACCTACTTAGTGACATATCGGCATGGATGTCACTCCACTTCCTCAAACTCAATCTTTCCCAAAACTGAGCTCTTGGTATTCCCTCCAGCCCGTGCCCCTTCCCCTGACTTCTCCATCAAAATCAATAATACAACCACCAGTCCCTCCCCTCATGCCAGGGTACTAGGTGTAATCCTAGACTCCCATCTGTCCTTTCAGCCCTAAATCCAATCGCTGTCCAAATCTTGTAGACTTCACCTCCCCAACATCTCCAAGATACGCCCGTTCCTAACCTCAGAAACCACTAAGCAACTTATTCACTCCCTTGTTATATTTCGCCTTGACTATTGTAACTCCCTCCTCATTGGCCGACCTCATCGCAGGCTATCCCCTCTTCGGTCTATCATGAATGCTGCTGCCAGACTCATCCACCTTACTAACCGTTCTGTATCTGCCACCCCTCTCTGCCAATCCCTCCACTGGCCTCCACTCAGTGTCCTCCACCCCTCTCTGCCAATCCCTCCACTGGCCTCCACTCAGTGTCCTCCACCCCTCTCTGCCAATCCCTCCACTGACCTCCATTCAGTGTCCTCCACCCCTCTCTGCCAATCCCACCACTGGCTTCTCATTGCCCAACAAATAAAATTCAAAACATTAACAATAACATATAAAGCCATTTATAACTCCACCCCAAATTACATCACCAATCTTGTCTCCAAATATCACCCAAACTGTACTCTTTTCTCCTCGCACGACCTCCTGCTCTCTAGCTCCCTTGTCACCTCTTATGCTCATCTCCAGGACTTCTCCAGAGCTTCCCCCATTCTCTGGAACTCTCTACCTCAATTTATCAGACTATCGCCTACTCTGCTCACTTTTTTTTATTCGATCTCTGAAAACCTATCTCTTCAAGGAAGCCTATCCTGCCCTCAGCTAATAATGGAATCTTCTACTCCTAAAACCAGTCCATCCCCCACAGTCACTACCTTTTGTACCACTAACCCCTCCCTCCTAGATCGTAAGCTCCAAGGATCAGGGCCCTCCTAACCCTCTTGTATTGAACTGTATTGTTGCTGTATATTGTTTCCCGTTATATTGTAAAGCGCTGAGCAAACTGTTGGCGCTATATAAATCCTGTATAATAATAATAATGACCATCTTCCAAAAATGCTGTTTGCCTGGCTTTTATGCCTCTGGTTTCAGAGTCACTGAGCTGAAACAAGTTTGGAGATCAAAAAAACCAGAGATCTAAAATTTTTATCTGCATATTATTTCCTGATTAGTCAAAGTGCTGAATAACGAAAGTCGGCATGACAGCCAAGCAACTATTATTTTCTAAACCAGAAGTCCACAGTGGCAGCCGCCAAATATGCTTAGACTAGATCCCCTTAAAAATGTATGTAAACCCTAACAGTGTTTTTGTTATCTGTTCAAAAATACTTGTTGGCCCTGCCAGAAATCCAGTGAGCTGAGAACTTCCTTCATGTTCTATAGCCCTGTGCTAGGGGCGGCAACACTGCTTCTCCATAGAGAGCCGTCAGTGAGCGTTGTCACCTTTGGAAGGAAGGTAATGAGATAAAAGTAAAGAAGTCTGAAAGAAAACTAAAGCAGCTACTACAGCTAAAGACCAGTAAGCTGCAATAAATAAATGATTGTTGTTGGGTTTTAGATGCACTTTAAATCTTTTGCTGCCAGGACCGGGATTTTGTGTAAATCTAACAAGCAGACTCCTGCCTGTCGGGTGGAAGCATTTCGGTGGCTGTGATGGCACCTGATTGCTTCCACACACCCTCAGAAATGGTTCCCCCCCCTTCCCGCACGTGCCATATGTTCCGGGCTCCACTTGCCTATCTGCAGGATTAGGACCAACAATAGCAGGTGTCAGCGGATGGAGAGGAGATGTGCGGAGTGTTTGACATCCCTTTCAAGGCCCCATGTTAGTTTCCCCAGCCAGTTTGGCAGGGAAAAAATATATTGCAATGCAATCTGCATTGCATTACATTCAGTGGAACACAGGAGCCAACCAGGGTCTTTTAGACCCTAGATGTCTCATTAAAGAGAACCTGTCACCAAAAAATCAACACATAGGGGACTTTGTCCCCTATGTGATGGAAAACAATGTAAAGTTAAAAAAACAAAATACTTTTAAGATGTAAAAAAAAAAGTTACACCCAAGCACTTAGGGCTCGTTCACACTTGACTGTTTTACCAACGCTTGCCAAACGCCCCTATGGCGTTTGGCAAACTTTGGTCTGGCGTTTGCGGAGCGGTTTTTTAATGCTCGGCAAATGTCGCATGCGCGGTTTAGCGGAGGTTGCTAGGCATTTGCAGAGTGTTTAAAAACGCCCCCCAAACGCCTATAATGAAGTTTGAATGGTGTTACCGCTCCGCAACCGCACCGCAAACGCCGGCCGGTCATTTGCAGAGCGGCACCATAGACTAGAATAGGAGGCTTCAACGCCTCCTGACTCGACCAGAGGCGTCCGTTTTGCCACGACGGGATGCTAACGCTCCCGTTAGAACAGCACCATGTGCTGCAATGTGTAGAATTGTCCAAGGCGTTTGGGAAGCGGTAAAAACGCTTCCCAAACGCCTCTCTGCTGCCTGCACACAATGCTAGTGTGAACGTAGCCTTAAACTCCACCCCCACCCCACATAAGCATATGCAGGGCCATGGATATGCAGTCCTCCTCTACGGGGCCCAAGCTAGCAGGGGGCCCAGGCAGCTGGGTGAATCTGATGTGGGTAGGGAGGGTGAACAGCATGGTGGGTGGGGGAATTACTGGAACCGATCCCCTATATGGTTCCCTCTGCAGCAGCTGAAAGCCGACTTCTCCTCTTCTCTCCCTCCATCTGGCTTTCAGCTGCTGCAGAGAGAACCATATAGGGGATCGGTTCCAGTAATTGCCCCCCGCCGCACTCATCTCTCTCCCCTGTGAACCATATGATGCCCCCCTGTGTACCCCCACAGTGCTGCCGGCTTCCCTTCTCTCCTTCCCACAGGCAGCTGCAATCGCATAATAGGATCCTTTTGGATGGAGAGTGGGGGAAGTGTCTGGTAAATGTCACATTTTCCACCCCCTCCCTTTCATGAATGAACACAATCAGTGATCAGTACTGATCACTTGCTGTGTTCATTCATAACTGAAGCCTAGTAGACTGTATTTTTTTTTTTTGGGGGGGGGGGGGGGGGGGACTGTCAGGTTGGCTGTATGGGGCTCCATGGTTTCTCTCAGCAGCCTAGAGCATGTGCAAGCGTAAATACACACATCGGGGGCTCCTACGCATGAAAAGGGCGATTTCGATACACATGTTGCATATTGACTCGCACGCTGGAGTGAGAGCAATAATTCTAGCACCAGACCTCCTCTGTAAAGCTGAACTGATGACCTATAGGGGGCTTTCATTTCACAATACATCCTATTGGCCTGTGAAGTTGCCCATCCTATTATTGACCAATAGGGGAAATGTCTATTCTTCTCACTGTCCTGCTTAGTTGAAGGTCCTTTTTAAAAGCTGAACTTCAGGCCTGCTGCTCTATGCCTACTGTATATAAGAACTGCCAAAGCTTTCGTAAATCTGGGATCCAGACCAGGGGTGGACTGACAACTCGAGGGGGGGGGGGGGGGGGGCATTAGATGACCCTGGTACCTTTCATAGGCTTTTTGGGGTGTGGTTTGAGTGTGGGCGAGGACACGGGTCCAATGATCTTCTATTGCCAGGGGGCTCCATGAACTGTCAGTCTGCCCCTGATCCAGACATTTCTACTAGAGAGCCGACCTCCCCTGTAGCTAGAACACTGCATCAGGATTCCGATACAACCCCAGCCTGCTGATTGGACAGGGAAGGATCATCTCCCTACTGTGTCCTCCTATCACGGTGTCCTCTATCAGCACTGTGCTCTGACTTTGATCCTGATTGGCTCACCTCCTTTTCCCAGTCTGAGTGCTGTAAAGTCGGGGTTTATTAGAGGGTGATGTAAAGACAGATAGAGGTCCTCGAAATACGTTTAAAAAGATATTCAGTTATCGTTTTAATGATTACATAAGTGCATTGATGCGTTTTTGTTTTTTTTTTTAGACCATTAACAAATTACTTTCCTGATTTTTCAGAAACAAAGGATGAGCTGGAAAACTTAACCCTGGAGATCAAGAAAGCGGCAAATAATGTCCGGTCCCGTTTAAAGGGTGAGTACCACTTGATAACCGGATTAAAGAGATTTCGCTGTACTTGGAGGAATGGGTATTAAATGAAACGCGTAGGAACACAAAAAACAGAATCTGTCTCACAACTTCTAGTTACCTGGCAGTCTCTGAGTTAATCACTGCAATACCAGCACTTTCACCCCCTTCCTGCCCAGGCCAGATTTCAGCACTGTTGCACTTTGAATAACAATTGCGCGGTCATGCAACGCTTTGAAAACCAAACTAAAATGACTAGTTGTGGACTCAGCCAGGATTGGTGGGTTTTTTTGTGTTACATTCATGTATTAAATAATAAGGCTGGTGGTCAAAAAGCACATGAGTGACTAATTCAAACAAAGACAGCTTTAAAAGCAAATCAAAAACACCACACCCCACAGGTCTCACCTAGTGCTCTCCCTTTTTGGGGGGGTACCAATAAGGCATAGATAGACATCAAATTCTCTCATATTGCGCAAAAAGTGCTTGGCATATAGAATTGCAGTATTAATGACTTTAAATCCTCATCAAAGGGAAGTTCCTCGTGTCATTCCCTTATGCCCCTCAGGAAAGTTATGTAATGCAACAAAGATGGTTTGGGCCCCGTGAAGAGAGAGTGCCGTGTAGTCCAGCGCAGGATATCCTGTGTACGCTTGCAGTAAGCACTGACCTCCCGCTTACACTAGATAGGTGACCAAATAAATCCTGTAGGGGGCAACCATTAAAAGGCCCAAACGGAACGCCAGACCGGATAGGTGCATGCAACACTGTACACAAATATAAATTTAAATTTTTTTTCGTTGTTGAGACAGAGCTTTCTTGTGCTGGTATTTAATCACCATTGGGTTTTTATTTCTTACTAAACAAATGAAAATTTTGAAAAAAAAATGTCTTGGTTTCTGTTAGAAAACTGCAAATAAGTAATTTTTCTTCTTCACTGACGGGCGCTGGTGAGTCTGCAGTGATGGGCTGCTTGGGAGGCTGCAGTGATGGGCTACTTGGGAGGCTGCAGTGATGGGCTGCTTGGGAGGCGGCAGTGATGGGCTGCTTGGGAGGCGGCAGTGATGGGCTGCTTGGGAGGCGGCAGTGATGGGCTGCTTGGGAGGCGGCAGTGATGGGCACTGATGAGGAGGTGCGCAGGAGGCGTATTTTGGGAGGACATCTACGGACACCCTTCCAGGACAAGAGAGCCGAGCTGTAGCCGTCTAACTATGGCGTGGTAATGAGATAGTTATTGACCTGGGGAAAGCATGTAACAAGTGAAGATGTGCAGATGTGTTTTGTCGATTATATAATAACAATCATGACTTTGAACATGGATGACGTTTTGGTTCACATATAAATCTGTTTTTTTTTTCTCTGGATTTTAAGCCATGGAGCAGACTATAGAACAAGAGGAAGGGCAGTCTTCAGCCGACCTTCGAATACGAAAGTCCCAGGTAAGGGGTGGAAGAAGTAATGTGCGCATTGCAATAGTATTGTATGGTCATTCCTGAAGATCTTGCCCGAGGTTGTCTTCTATTGACAGGATGAGACAAGTTTCTATTTCTGGTAGTAAATACCAGGCTCATGGTCCCTTTCCTCTGATTAACAAGTCTAATTTTTACTAGTAAAATACTGGAAACCCTAGATCAGTGGTCTCCAAACTGATGCGCCCCTTTGCCTGCCTTTATCCGGCCCTTGGGGCACTTTTCCTCCTACTGATATGAGATTGTTCTGCCAACTGACATAAACAATGGGGCGGCCATTTATTCCACTGGCACCGACAGTGGGGCTCCATTTATTCCACTGGCACCGACAGTGGGGCGCCATTTGTTCCACTGGCACCGACAGTGGGGCGCCATTTGTTCCACTGGCACCGACAATGGGGGCGCCATTTGTTCCACTGGCACCGACAATGGGGGCGCCATTTGTTCCACTGGCACCGACAATGGGGGCAATTTGTTCCACTGGCGCCGACAATGGAGGCGCCATTTGTTCCACTGGCGCCGACAATGGGGCGCCATTTGTTCCACTGGCGCCGACAATGGGGGCGCCATTTGTTCCACTGGCGCCGACAATGGGGGCGCCATTTGTTCCACTGGCACCGACAATGGGGGCGCCATTTGTTCCACTGACACCGACAATGGGGCGCCATTTGTTCCACTGGCACAGACAATGGGGCACTATTCCTCCCCCTAATACCAAACATGATGATGCTTACTCTGATGCCAGAGAATATTCTAATCCCACTGGTTTCAGTACGGCCCCCCTAAAGTCTGAAGGACAATAAATTGGCCCTTTGTTTAGAAAGATTGGAGACCCCTGCTCTAGATGGGATTTAGGGTTGCCTGGGCTTTAACTCTCCAAACTCTCTCTTAAATAAAAAAAATGGTTGTGAACCATCCCTCAGGCTTGTTTCCTTTATCTTCACCCGATGATACTGCGAATAACACACTTCTGTCCTAGGGTGACACCACAAGCACTCGCACGCTGTATTTTATTTATAGAGGAATGGGGTTGTCATTCTAGGACAGGCCTACAGGACACCTCCCACTCTTCTCATATGGGGAAGTGTGTTGCATAGTCCACAGAGAATTGGAAGCAACGCTTTACTGATTGTTTTCAGCAGACAACACTGAATGTTCCAAGATTTCTGGCAGGATCAATATTTTTTTTTTTTCTCTTGCACTTTATAAAAAGGTTTAACGACACACTTTAAGGCTTCAGTCACATAGCCGCTGGGGCCCATAGAACATGATTGGGCTGAGTGTTAATGCATATTGAGCCGCTTTGTTGATGGGGGAATCAAGCGATTTTTCTTTCCTGCAACCCTTGGTGGAAGAAAATTGCATCATCTATGGCCTGCTTTACTCTTTTTGTCTTCCTGGCAGCAGAGTTTGTCCTGTCATCTCTACTTACTTTTTCACCCTCCTTAACCACTTCATGTCCGGACACTTTCACCCCCTCCCTGTCCAGGCCAATTTTCAGCGCTATCACACTTTGAATGACAATTGCGCGGTCATGCAACACTGTACCCGTATGAACTTTTTTTTTTTTAGCATTCTTTTGAGACCAATAAAACTTTATTTTGTTGGTATTTATTCACCACTGGGATTTTTATTTTTTTTTATATATAAATGGAAAAAGTCCAAAAACTTAAAAAAAAAGTGTTTTTCTTTTAAAATATTGCAAATAAATAATCTTTCTTCATAAATCTTAGCCAAAATGTATTCAGTTATCTTTTTAGTAAAAAAACAAATTTGTTTATAACCAAAAATTATAATTTTTAAAACTTTTTTTTACTTTTTTTTTTTTTTTTTACATACTGTCACCCTAGCAGTACAGTGTCACCATAGTGACACTGTGCTACTTGTGGGGATTATGAAGAAGATTTTTTTTTTTTTTTTTTTTATACTGATTGCTTTACACCCATAAAGGCTGTAAAAGCAATCATTTCTCATTCTCTCTGGCTACATTCTTGCAGCCATTGAGAAATACTGTGTGAGTTGTGATTGGTCACATGGTACAAGGCTGTTGTGAATAGCCCTGTACCATGTGATCTCTGTGATCATTCACAGATTTCACACGTAGTAAGCAATGGTGTCAGAAGTGACATCTTGCTTACTACTCTGCATGTGATCACTGATTGGCCAAGAGGCTTGCTATTGGGGGCACTTGGTATGGGTGAAGAGCCAGGAGCACCAGCGGCAGACCCAAAAAAAAGAGGATCAGGGCTGCTCTAAGCAAAACCATTACACAGAGCAGGTAAGTATAGCATGTTTGTTATTAAAAAAAAAATAAAACACAAGCCTTTAGTATTACTTTAGCTAGTTCATCATTTTTTGCTTTGCAAGACCGCTTTGGTCCTGTACCATCATATATGACTGTGGCAAATGAGGTTTAATGTTGATAAATGTAAGGTTCTGCACTTCGGAGCTAAGAATATGCATGCATCATACATACTAGGGGGACTACATCTAGGGGGTCAATGGTGAATGATCTAGGGGGGTCAATGGTAGAGAAGGATCTGGGAGTTCTGGTAGAACACAAGCTTAATAATGACATGCAATGCCAAACTGCGGGTTCTAAAGCGAGCAAAATCCTCTCTTGTATTAAAAGAGGTATAGACTCCAGAAAGAGAGAGATCATATTACCCCGGTACAAATCATTAGTAACACCTCATCTGGATATGCAGTTCAGTTTTGGGCACCAATTCACAAAAAGAACATTGGGGAACTGAAGAAAGTACAGAGAAGGGCAACCAAACTGAGAAGAGGCATGGAGGAGCTCAGCTATGAGGAAAGATTAGAAGAACTGAATTTATTCTCGCTTGAGAAGATGAGATTAAGGGGGGATATGATCACCATGTATAATACATAAGGGGGATATGATCACCATGATAATACATAAGGGGATATAATACATAAGGGGGGGATATGATCTCCATGTATAATACATAAGGGGGGATATGATCTCCATGTATAATACATAAGGGGGGATATGATCTCCATGTATAATACATAAGGGGGGATATATGATCTCCATGTATAATACATAAGGGGGGATATGATCTCCATGTATAATACATAAGGGGGGATATGATCTCCATGTATAATACATAAGGGGGGATATGATCTCCATGTATAATACATAAGGGGGGATATGATCTCCATGTATAATACATAAGGGGAATATGATCTCCATGTATAATACATAAGGGGGGGGGGGATATGTTCTCCATGTATAATACATAAGGGGGAATATGATCTCCATGTATAATACATAAGGGGGGATATGATCACCATGTATAATACATAAGGGGGGATATGATCACCATGTATAATTACATAAGGGGGGATATGATCTCCATGTATAATACATAAGGGGAATATGATTCCATGTATAATACATAAGGGGGGGGATATGTTCTCCATGTATAATACATAAGGGGGAATATGATCTCCATGTATAATACATAAGGGGGGATATGATCTCCATGTATAATACATAAAGGGGGGATATGATCTCCATGTATAATACATAAAGGGGGGATATGATCTCCATGTATAATACATAAAGGGGGGATATGATCTCCATGTATAATACATAAAGGGGGGATATGATCTCCATGTATAATACATAAGGGGGGGATATGATCTCCATGTATAATACATAAGGGGGGATATGATCTCCATGTATAATGCATAAGGGGGGATATGATCTCCATGTATAATGCATAAGGGGGGATATGATCTCCATGTATAATGCATAAGGGGGGATATGATCTCCATGTATAATGCATAAGGGGGGATATGATCTCCATGTATAATACATAAGGGGGATATGATCTCCATGTATAATACATAAGGGGGGGGATATGTTCTCCATGTATAATACATAAGGGGGAATATGATCTCCATGTATAATACATCAGTGGTTCATATAGTGAACTCGGTGTAGTTATTCACCCTGAGGTCATCATAGAGGACAAGGGGGCACTCTTTACATCTGGAGGAAAAGATTTAATCTCCAAACACAGAAAGGTTTCTTCACAGGAAGAGCTGTGAGAATGTGGAATAGACCCCTCAAGAGTTGGTTGTGGCCAGCTCAGTGGATTGCTGTAGGAAAGTCCTGGATTCTTTCTTGGATATACAGAATATAACTGGACATAACATTTATAGGTTAAGTTGATCCAGGGAATATCTGATTGCCTCTTGGGGGATCAGGAAGGAATTTATTTCCCTGCAGGAGCAAATTGGATCATGCTTTGCTGGGGTGTTTTTTTTTTTTTTTTTTTGCCTTCCTCTGGATCAACTGTGGGTGTAGGATTAAAACTTTTTTTTTTTTTTTTGTGGTTGAACTGGATGGACTTTTGTCTTTTTTTCAGCCAGACTAGCTATGTAGCTATGAATAATGAATAAAGCGAGCGCTCAGAAAAACCAGCTGCTGGAACACTTCAAGGAATCACTAAACCTCATAATAGAGACAATATATACATATAGTGCAGCGCTGAAAAAGTATAAAAATGAAATGTGTAAAATATATATATATATATATAAAAAGTCTTTCTTATGACAATATAGTCAAATATGTGCAGGTCTTCTCCTCATTAGGTGACTGGAAAATAACAAGATTGCGCACTCACCGACCGCACATTTAAAATGCGCCTGTGTATGATATATTCCAAAAGACCAGCCAGGTATACAGCTCCAGAGACCACACGGATCCTCCCTCTCCAACACTCTCGTTTGCCTTGGGTGTAGCAATATCTCCAGATCCAAAGGTAGAAAGACAGAGATCCCCCTTTTTTGGTTCCAGACACCCCAGGAATGGAAGATGTGTATCTGCACTCTCCAACAGGAGAGTCAAAGAAAAAAGGGGAACGCCAATAGTGTGGTACTATCAAAAAACTTTATTGGAGCAATAATGCCTGGGTCATATGCACACATATATCCATACACCATAAGCCAATAACGGACAGGTAGGTATGAAAGGAAATAGTAGTACTAACCCGGCAATGGCATCCTCTGAAGAAGTGCTTTTTGCACGAAAGGCCTCAGGAGGAGCCAAGTAGCAAGTGTGACTTCCAGACCACTGGGACCAAGAGGAGGTCTGGTGGTCTTTGTTTTTATGCCATTGCCGGGTTAGTACTACTATTTCCTTTCATACCTACCTGTCCGTTATTGGCTTATGGTGTATGGATATATGTGTGCATATGACCCAGGCATTATTGCTCCAATAAAGTTTTTTGATAGTACCACACTATTGGCGTTCCCCTTTTTCTTTGACTCTCCTGTTGGAGAGTGCAGATACACATCTTCCATTCCTGGGGTGTCTGGAACCAAAAAAGGGGGATCTCTGTCTTTCTACCTTTGGATCTGGAGATATTGCTACACCCAAGGCAAACGAGAGTGTTGGAGAGGGAGGATCCGTGTGGTCTCTGGAGCTGTATACCTGGCTGGTCTTTTGGAATATATCATACACAGGCGCATTTTAAATGTGCGGTCGGTGAGTGCGCAATCTTGTTATTTTCCAGTCACCTAATGAGGAGAAGACCTGCACATATTTGACTATATTGTCATAAGAAAGACTTTTAATATATATATATATATATTTTACACATTTCATTTTTATACTTTTTTCAGCGCTGCACTATATGTATATATTAGCTATGTAGCTATATATGATGACAGTTGTCGGCAAAGTCTGAATAGCTCGCCTCTCACTCTCTCTGCAGCACTCCGTCCTGTCGCGGAAGTTTGTGGACGTTATGACCAAGTACAATGAAGCTCAGGTGGACTTCAGAGAGCGAAGTAAAGGAAGGATCCAGAGGCAGCTGGAGATCAGTGAGTTATCCCCACCATGGTTGTGTTTTGTGGTTTCCCTTGTTCATGAACAGATTTAAACCCATTGGAGATTGTCCAGTATTTAGGTAAGTGGAAGCAATGTACTGATTGCAAAAAAGCAGCCAGCTGGAGGAGAAAAAAAAAACCAAAAAAACCCAAAACGTGCTGGTTTGACCTCTCCACTATAATTTTGTTTTGGGGAGGGGGGGGGACAGGGGCATATGCTTAGTTGAACCATCCATTGGTTTATGTATAACAGAAAAGTCCGATCTGGGTTTCTGTGTTCCCAACGATGGCCACGTACCTCCAGATCCACCACCCATGTTAGATTTTCATCTGCGATAATGCAGATAAGAGAGCTAAGGACTCCGATGGAGAATGGGGGGAGGGGAATCTATTGAATTTCCTCAAGAGATATAATAAAAGAAATGGGTGATTCAGTTCATAAGTATGTGCCTATGAATGAGAAGTTATTTTTGAATGGGCTGACTATTTATTTTTTGGCACAAATATATTGCATTCCATTTTTTTTAAAGATAATTAACCACTTGAGTACCAGCCCCTTTTATTTCCAGGCAGGGGCGGACTGACAACTCATGGGGCCCTCGGGCAATAGGGTATCATGGGGCCCCTGTGTCCTTGCCCAAACTCTCAAAAAAGCCTATGAAAAAGGTACCAGGGGCATCTCATGGGGCCCCCTACTGACCCCGGGCCCTCGGGCAGTGCCCGAGTTTCCAAATGGTCAGTCCGCCCCTGTTTCCAGGCCATTTTTCAGTTTTCAGTGCTGTGATAGTTTACTCGGTCATGCAACACTGTCTCCAAATGAGTTTTATATCATTTTATGAGACGGAGCCTACATTTGGTGGTATTTAGGTTTTTCACCATTTTTTTTTCACCCATTCTATGCATTAAGGTGCTGCGAAATCCACCCCCAGCCTCCCCCATGCTTACCTGGGCCCGATCCAGGGATGTGCATGAGATCAGCGGCTCTCGCCGCTGTCTCTCTCCTCCCTGGCAGATTGATAGCAGTAGGAGCCATTGGCTCCTGCTACTGTCAATCAAATGCTGTGTCGAGTGAATGGGGCCAAACCGCCCATCCTGTGTCAATGGCCACAGGCAGGGCAGTTTGAGAGCGAGCACACACGGGTGCCCCCATGGAAAGTGGCTTTCCATGGAGCCACTTCACAAAGCGGAGGATCCTGGAGCGCCAGTGGGGGACCCCAGAAGAAGAGGATCAGGGCAGCTGTGTGCAAATCTATTGCACAGATCAGGTAACTATGACATGTTTATTTTAATTTAAAAAAAAAAAAAAGCTTTAATATCATTCACTTTAATAACCCCTGAGGTTTTTTTTGTTTTGTTTTTTTTTTTACATAAAAAGAAAAAAAAAAACCTGTTTCTCTTTTTTTGCTAAAATCAAAATGCCAGAATAGTACGTCCTTTTTTTTTTTTTTTTTTTTGAATGAAGAAATGTTCCGTTACTGAGAGGGTTAGGGCTCATGTACACAGCAGCTGATAAACTCACATTTAGGAGCTGTTCAGCATTTTTTTTCAGCAGCCCCTGAACTCTCCCTAATGTTTTCCTATGTGTCCATGTACACATCGCCGTTTACAGTCGTTCTTTTTAATGCAACAAACTTGCGTTCAGACGTCGATTTTATCAGCGTTTCAAACTCAAAACGCATGTAAACGCATCTAAACGTGGCAAATCGCATTTATAAGCGTTTGAATTTTTTTTTTTCACTCTTCCAGTTCCCGATGCTGTCCAGAACCTTTTTTCATCATGAAATATGCATGCGTTTTCAAGGTGCCCAGATGGACAAAACACTGAACACAGGATGTTCCTACCAAGCTTGTCACACATTGTAATGACCAATTCACACCTCAGACCTCTCCCACCCTTGGAAACAAAAGATATGTTAATGTTTTTTCTGCGGTTTTTACACATTTTTGATGCATTTTGCTTTTTAATCTGCCTAGCAACAAGAACAAAAGCATAAAAAATGCATCAAAAACACATTTGCAAAAGCGCCCCACACAATGCACTGGAGAAACAGATCAAACGCTAACTGCATAGGTGTGAGCCTTGCCTTATAGAATAGGGGGGAGGCTGAAATAGTTTTTTTCTTTTAAATCCCTATAGTGGGGCAGCACAGTGGCTAAATGGTTAGCACTTCTGCCTGGTCATTGGTTCGAATCCCAACCATGGCACCACCTGCCTGGAGTTTGCATGTTCTCCCTGTGCCTGTGTGGGTTTCCTCCGGGTACTCCGGTTTCCTCCCACACTCCAAAGACATGCTGGAAGGTTAGTTGGCTCCTGTCTAAATTGCCCCTATTATGTGTATGTATGAATGTGTATTAGGGACCTTAGATTGTACAGCCCTTGAGGGTTAGGGACTAATGTGAATGTACAATATATATGTAAAGTGCTGTGTAAATTGATGGCGCTATACAAGTACCTGAAAAAAATAAATAAATAGTCGCTCATCCATCCATTCTGTGTCCATAATCCTGTTTATAAGTGGAAAGGGAGGGATCAGCATTGTAAATGGTACCATGTAATCGCTGTGATGACCGATCACAGCAATCCCAGCCCTTCGGATCAGTGTGAAAGTAGCCTAAATGCAATCTGTATTCAAAGCCATTTCAGGTGCAGCTGCTGTGCGATTTGTATGCAGGTGCTGGTTGATTCCATTGTGATTTTACAGGTAACCAGAAAATATCAAGGCTACAAACCCTGGCCGACTTCTGGAAATACGAATTCCTTGGTTATCAGGCAGGTTATGGGCCAGTGACTCAAAAAAGCATTGCGGCCTTTGCCAGCCAGGCAACTAGCATTTTCATACAGCCATAGATCCCAACCTCCAGATTCCTTTCTTTTGGTGGCAGCAAAGCAGCTTTGTAGTGGGTGGGAGAGAAAATGAAATTAAACGGCTGCAGCATTGGCTGGTCTATACGGGGTATTTTATATATCATTGCGATTCTGACTTCTGTCTTTTGGCATCTCTGTTTTCCCTTCAAGCTGGCAAAAACACAACAGACGATGAATTGGAGGAAATGCTGGAGAGCGGAAACCCCAACATCTTCACCTCTGGGGTGAGTCTTTTATAAAGGGGACCTGTCACATACAGATGGCTTCAGCCTGGATCCTGCACATTCCAAATACTGTGACTTGCAGACATCCATCATTCTGTATGTTCACCTTTTACTGTAGGTTGCATTGACTTTTGACCCAAGGCGTTGAGAACCTTCCATTTCCTGGAAAAAATATGTCCTCAGAATGGCAAAGATGATGTGCCAGGTGCAGATCTGTATCTTGGGATTCAGATGTCACTACTTTAACTGAAAGCTGAAATATGGTGCAAGGGAAGCCACCATCAACTGGGCCCTTGGAGGGGCCTGGGGGCCAGCCTCCTTCCCACCGACTATGGACCCAGGGCTAAGGAGACCACAAGGAACCTTTTCCCCAAGAGGGTTAGGTCACTTCCCTGGGTACCTGACTGGCAGTGAATTATTCCGGCTCTCCTTTCCATGAAATTAGGCTGGAGGGCCGTTTATCGGCCGAATTGTCAGCTGATAAACAAAAAATCGGTCGGCGCCGATGCTGCCACCATTGTCCATGAAAAAGTCAGTTTTTCGTTTATTTTCTAGCATGACCGATAAAAATAAATGAGATCCACGAAAAGTGGGCGGGCCCCACTAACGGCGTGAATATCGGCCCATTTTTCGTGCAGACGAAAAAATTTGGCCGATAAATGACCCGTCTATGGCCTGCATTAGGAAACTTTATTTTCTGTTCCAGGTTTCCCCGGCATCAACTGTTTGTTGTAATTAGGTTTAGGTGATAAGCTTTCCTTTTTGTTTAATCACCTCCAGAGTCCAGACTGCTTGGTGCCAGGAAGAAACCCATTGCTCTATTGTGTTTGATTGTTTATTTGTATATGTAATGTATTTTTTAACTGAGACTTCTAATGTATACCATACCTGTCTAGGGGGAAAGTTTTTGTGTATAAATGCTGTGCTGTGTGTTTATAAAATCAGTCCTTGTTTTACTCCAACATCGGATCTGTCTGATGCTTGGGGTAAATTTGCAATATTCTGGTTCCAGAGTGGAGGAAGCTGTAGTTTGGTGGAGATACCCAGTTGAGGTGTCAGGCAGTCCATCACATACAGTTGTTGCTGTAGGTATTTGTTTTTCCCATATGAGGAATATTTTTTTTTCTTTTTCAAATCTTCCATCACTGCTTACATGTTGTCTCATCCAATGAGAAGTGGATATGGGCATATCCATCCAAATGTTCTTGGATATCACTAGGCCCCAGTTGTATAATGGAGGGACCTAGCAACTCTTCATTAATGGTTGAGACACTCAGCCTAAAGCTTATGTCAGAGTCGATGGGTATACTTGATCCCGACCCTAGGAGTGCAGGATTCCTGTTTGGGGAAGGTATGTGATTTTAAAAAGTCCATTGGTAAATCCGCCACCTACATACATCGTTCAGCCACACAATATTAGAATCACTGGAAGGTAAAGTGAAGAATAATGATGATCTCGTTACAATGGCATCAGAAAGTTGGTGTGATATGTTAGGTAGCAAGTAAACACGTTGTCCCTGAAGTTGGTGTGTTGAAAGCCAAAAAAGGGCATTGTAGTTATTTGTGTATGGGGATGCGTAGCCATAGGCTAGTCAGGGTGCCCATGCTGACCCGTGTCCACAGTCAAAAGCACCTTCAATGGCCACAAGAGCAGTGGCGTCCCTAGAGGGGGTGCGGAAAAAATGTCACCAGCGCACCGAGGATCACCAATATGGGTCCAAAGGTTTTAATGAACGACCACATAGTTACAGCAAGGCAACGTTTTGGATCTCGCAGGACCCCTTCATCAGGCATGAAGGGGTCCTGTGAGACTCCGAAACGTTGCCTTGCTGTAACTATGTGATCGCTCATTAAAACCTTTGGCCCCATATTGGTGATCCTCTGTGTGCTGGTGACATTTTTTCTTGCTGATTTTGTTCGGTTCCAGCCGACGGTCGCCGCAGCACCCACTTATACACACAGCCATTTTTACCGCAGGAACGTGTGCGTTTGGATTGTATACTTGCCAAGGGGGGTGTGGGCCGTACCGGATGACACCATCACGGGGTGCAGGAGCAGGATGCCAGCAGAGCTTCTGGGCTCTGAAGGTCCTGGCCAGTTATTGGGGTAATCCTGAATTCCCGGCACAGGGACCGCTGCCCCCGGTGTAGCGGTAAAATGAGTATCCTGGACCCGTGAAGATATGTATCCCCTGAAGCAACTGCACATGTGCCGATTTCAGGCCGAAGAAGCCGATCTCCGACTTTAGCACAGAGCTGGCACAGTTAACCCCTTACAGGCTGCAAACTGCTGAAGCTGATCCAGCAGATCACTATGGGTTTCAAGATCAGTTCACCCCATATAGGTTCAACCTGATCTTGCAACCCATAGTGATCTGTGGGATCAGCTTCAGTGGTTTGCAGCCTGTAAGGGGTTAACTGTGGCAGCTCTGTGCTAAAGTCGGAGATCGGCTTCTTCGGCCTGAAACCGGCACATGCGCAGTTGCTTCAGGGGATACATATCTTCACGGGTCCGGGATACTCATTTTACCGCTACACCGGGGGCAGCGGTCACTGTGCCGGGAATTTTTACGGGATACTCATTTTATCGCTGCACCGCTGCTTCCTCTCTGGAGGGGTGATACCACGTGTTACCGCACCGGGTTACACCAACCCTAGGGACTCCTCTGCACAAGAGCATCAGAACTGGACCACAGAGCAGTGGAAGAAGGTGGCCTGGTCTGATGAATCATGTTTTCGTTTACATCATGTGGATTTCTGGGTGCCTGTGTGTTGCTTACCTGGTAAAGAGATGGCACCAGATGCATTATGGGAGGAAGGCAAGCCGGGGGAGGCAGTGTGATGATTTGGGCAATGTTCTGCTGGTAAAGCTTGGGTCGTGCCATTCAGATGGATGTTACTTTGACACGTACTACTACCTACCTAAATGTTATTGCTGACCAAGTACACCCCTTCATGGAAATGGTATTCCCTGATGGCAGTGGCCTCTTTTAGCAGGATAATGTTCCCTACCACGCTGCAAAAATGGTTCAAGAATGGTTTGAAGAAAACATTAACAAGTTGACTCCGCCCCCAAATGCTCTGGATCTATCGAGCATCAGTGGGATGTTCTGGAAAACCTAATCAGATCTTTGGAGGCCCCACCTCGCAGCTTACAGGACTTAAAGGATATGCTGCTGACCACTTGGTGTCAAATACCACAGCGTAGCTTTTAGTGGTCTAGTGGAGTCCATGCCGCATTGGGGTCAGGACTGTTTTGGCAAGAAAAGGGGGACCTACTCAATATTAGGTGTGTCATCATAATGTTATAGCTGATCAGTGAATACAAAATAACTGTTTTTAGAGGAGCCTTTCACTGGTGTACCGGAGATGCACTATGTGGACACCTAGCCATCACACCAACAATCCTAATCCATAAGTTCAGCTGTTTGCAATGATTGCTATTATTACTGCTTGCACAGAGCCCTGAACTCAACCCAATTGAGCATCTTTTGGATGATTGCAAGCCAGGTTAAAGGAGGAATTAAAAGGGGGTAAATAATCATACTCTTATAAACAGACTTCACTGGTTTATTCAGCAAAACAATAGTTGTCTCATTCAATGTGAGTATCTAACCTCACAAATGTTCTTTTGACTAAATGAGCACAAATTCCCCCAGATTCACTGCACATTCCTATGGAGAGCCTTTCCAGGAGAATGGAAGAAAGGGTGGGAAGATCAACTTCATATTTATGGCCATGCTTTTGGAATGGGATGTGGAACAAGCTCATATAAGGTGTGACTGTAGGTGTCCACAAACATTTCACCATTTAGTGTAGGACATAGCGATAAAGAAGATGTACACCTTAGACCTAACTAGCTACCAGAACGATCTGGTATCTGTAGCCTAATCACATCTGTTAATCTTTCCTGTAGATAATTAATGACTCGCAGATTTCACGCCAAGCTCTGAGTGAAATTGAATCTCGTCATCGGGACATCGTACGGCTAGAAAGCAGTCTGAAGGAGCTCCATGACATGTTCATGGATATCGCCATGCTGGTTGAGAACCAGGTAACCATCATGGACAATATGGGGTTGGTGAAGACCACTAAATAAATGACACAACAGGGCCTTGAAATAGGAGATTAGGAGTACTATATAAACTGTTTTATGTTGATCTTAAATCACCCTAACGTGGCCTCTATAAAAGCCATTTGATTTCTCAGTTGTGTCCCATTTTCTGTCTTTAATGCTTTGCTTGGAGACTGAGGCGCGACCTAGTTAAGGTAACTATAATCTCCTCTCTGGGACTTTTGCCTTCATCTGAAATCCCTTCTGTTTGTCCAGGTGTACTAACCCATCTTTTGTACCCACCACAGGGGGAGGTGACTGATAACATAGAGATCAATGTCATGAAGTCAGTGGAACATGTAGAGAAAGCTCGAGAAGAGACAACCAAAGCTGTGAAATACCAGAGCAAAGCGCGCAAGGTGAGGGTGGGAAGACCAATAGACAATAATGCAACTGACCGACTTTAGATATAAAATCTGGTATAAGGATGCCGTTGAGGGCTACAAATGACTGGACACAGTTCTATGATATGACACTGCAATATCAAATGTGTTTTTTTTTTTTTTTTTTTTTTTCTAATCTCGCATTATGTCCTGCTTACTTCTTGTACAATTCCCATCATTTTTAATTTTTACTTCTGCCATGAACATTTCTTACTGTGTGTCTTGCTTGGTGTGCTCTATGCTTTTGTTCCTTTTGCGCTGTTTTATTTTACTCTTCCCTTTCCTCCATTTAAACCTTTCTGGTTTCTACCACGGGTTTACCTATGCTTCTTCTCAAACGTTGATCTCCTTCTCATTTCATTTTGTCCACCATGCTCTTTTACTATCTTTCCACTTTTTTTTTTTTTTTTTTTCATCCTGGTTTTAATACTGTTATGTTTAATACTCATGTCTTTACCAACCCATTTTCTCTACTTCCTACTTTGTGTTTTCCTATGCTTTTGCTCAAAACGTCTACCTAAATCTCAACTTTCAAAACCCAACCTTGCTTTTCCAATGTTTTATCTACCGTTTTTCTTTTTTAATTTTCTTAAAACATGCGTCAACTTCATCATTTTACTTTACATTTAATATTCTGCCATGGGTCGATGTGCTTGAACTCTTCTGTCTCATGCTGTATGTTTCCCCTTTCTATAATGGCCCAAACTTGTCGTCTCCAAAACTCTAAATACGTCATTTAAACCTCTCTGGTTTCTACCATGGGTTTACCTATGCTACTCCACAAACGTTGATCTCATCCTCATCACGTTCTCCCCACCATGTACTTTCACTATCTTTCTACTGTTCTCAACTTTTTCATCCTGGCTTTAATACTCTTATGTTTAATCATTTCTTTACCAACATTTTTCCTCTACTTCCTATGTTGTGTTTTCCTATGCTTTTGCTCAAAATGTCTACCTTACTCTCAAAACCCAACCTTCCTTTCCCGATGTTTTATCTACCATTCTCTCTTTTCTGATTTTCTTCAAACCTACTCCAACTTCATTTTCTTTACATTTAATATCCTGCTATGGGTCAATGTGCTTGAACCTAACTCTTCTGTCTCGTGTTGTTTGTTCTTCCTTCTGTAATGGCCCAAACTTGTCATCTTCAAAACGCTAAACATACTTCATTTTCAAACTTTCTATTCCTAATTCTTCATGGCCTTCTGTGCTTTGATTTTCTTTGAGCTATATTATTTCTTCTCTTTTCTCTTCTCATCTCCTTTTCTCGCCTCATTCTCTTCTCTTCTCATTTTGATTTGCCTTATTCTCTTCCCGCCTCTCTCTCTTCCCGCCTCTTCTCTCTTTTCTTCTCGTATATTATCTTCTGCCATGTCCTTTCTCTCACTCTTCTTTTACACTTACCACAATCCTTTTTTCTTGCAATCCTTCAACAACATACATCCCTTAACCCATTCCCATACTTGTGTCTTGGCTTCCTTCTGCTATTTGTCCCCCATCCCTGTCTTTTCTTTTTTCTATACCTCTTTCTTTCTTAAGGGTTCTCTTATAGACCGTATAGAAAATAACATGGACGAGTCAGTAGGTTTTGTCGAACGAGCTGTGGCCGATACAAAGAAAGCTGTAAAATACCAGAGTGAGGCCCGGAGGGTGAGAAGAACCACTTAGATTGCTCAGTAGTAACTTGAGGCTTGGCACCCTTGATGTACCCCAAATAGCAACCAGATCCCTGCATATAGTTATGCTGTGCTGGTAGTGCATTGATTTAGATGCAACTGCTTTTGGTTACCTTACGTTGATTTTTTAGATTTAGAGTTCACATAGATGTGACTGGGCTCATTTATAAAAAATGGAGGAAGGAAAATGAGAGGGTGTGGTCAAAAACAACAAATCAGAATCTAGTGGTAACTTTCTGAACTGGAGCATAAAAATGTTGAATTCTGTGTGGCCTGGAGTCACACAGGAGCAAGCAGATGAAACTGGGCTTCTGAGGTGGTTCCAACCCTTTAGGAGACCATTGAAGGTCTTTAAAAGGTCTTTTGGATAGAGTGGAAAAAGATAGAACCTTTATCAGGTTTTTATTGTGGTGTGTGTCCCTGTTTTTGGAACATGTGCTCTTACAAGACAGTGATCAATGGGTCAAAAAGTAAGGGCAGGGCTGCACATCGGTGATTTTTGCTATAGCAGTCATCAACTATAATTACCCTGTAATCACTGTAGTAGCAATCAATCACACAAATGCTACACTTTATTGTTCCCTATGTGTAGGAATTGCTGGTGATCACTGTAGCAGAAATCACCCATGTGTGGTCAGCCTGAAACTTCCTATCAGAGACACCGATGACAATAAAAAACTTGAAATGGATCTAAACTCATCCCTACTCAATCTACAACAATTAAAACAAATTAGCTGGTATTGCACTTTAAAGCCTAACTGCAGGCTTTGAACTCCTCCCCTGCTTTCCCCTAGTGTACCCCCCCCCCCCCCCCCCCCAACATTTGCAGATGTCTTCAGGCCAGTAGGGTCCTCTTAAGAGCTGAAGTAAGAGATCCCCAATGATCCAGAGAATGGCATTACTGCCATAATAATGTCAGAACTGCTCTCTGCATCATTGAGCTGTACAGGGCTGAGTGGTCCATGACACCCTGCATTCCCAGTATGTTCCTAGGCTACCAGGTTAGAGGCACTGGACATTATTTATCCTGGAAGATTATGGGCACCTTGTTGTGGGGAAAAAAGCACAGCAGGAGACTGGAGGTGATTAATGCTTTTTGATTACAATAATGGCAAATTTTCACTTTAATCTATATCGATGTGACCATGAAGTGCTGAGGGTTATGGAAGGTGGGCCAAATTGGTCATTGTGGTCAGTCTGTCGTTTTTCCTTTACTCCAGTTTTCATAAATAAGACCAGAAGTAGCTCTATATTGTGCATCCTTTATGGTTTACCTCCTCCTTCTTCTCTTGTCCTTCATATCTCTCCACATTTTATGTGCGCAAGGACAAGGGATTTTTAGCTTACTGGCTCTGCCTTGACTTTGTGCAGACCAAAGGCATTCCGGGAAATGAAAGTCGGATGGAATGTCAGTTAGATATCAGGCCACGGTTATAGCCATTTAAAAATGATTTTCTAAGGAGGACTTGTACTTGAAATTAATATCATATGTCTTCATACCCCCCAACTTTCTTCGATAGGAAAGAGGGTCACGTTGTACCAAGTACATAGGCAAAGACTACACCCCCGGTTATGTGGACCAGGAAGAACTAATATGCAAAAAAACATTGTTCAATCCACAAATGGTCTCAGTGCCCGTCTGAATGAACCATTAATACTGTTTTTTTCAAAGTAACAAATGCAATAGGTCAGAGGTTAGATGAAAGGTTCTATCATAACATTTTTGGTGGTTGGTTCTGTAGATATCTACACATCAGACCTAAAAGAGGAACAGCTAAGGAGGAATCAGGAATAGCAGGGTTTGGTTCCAAAAGAGGGACAATCTTTCTAAATGAGGATCTATGTGTCTTATTAGTTGGCCGATGAGACTTTTTCATTACGCTTTGATTTATTGTGGTTATGTAACTATGTTTATTAGAGTTTATTATTTGTCTCTAGCACCTGTAGAAGGTAGTTGTGAGTTTGGATGCTGTTATTTTACCTGTTTGACGCTTGCTATTTTTGTACTTTTAAATGTCCCATTACTTTTAAATCAGATATTGTATGTACTTATAACAAATTATAGCACATGGCTTTCCTAGGAGACATTTCCTATATCACCAGTTAGAAAGGAATCTTGTACTCCGGTTAGGAAGTACATACAGTGCTGTGAAAAAGTATTTACCCCCTCCCTGATTTTTTTTTTATAGTTTTGCATATTTGTCACACTTAAATGATTCAGATTATCAAACAAATTTTATTATTCTACAAAGATAACTTTAGTAAAGACAAAATGTCATTTTTAAATGATGATTTCATTAAGTGAAAAAAGCTGTCCAACCCTGCCTGGCCCTATGTAAAAAAGTTATCCCCCCCTTTGCTAAACCATGAATGAACTGTAGTTAACCACATTTTTTGGAAACCTGAGTTACATTTCACCTACCACACCCAGGCCTGATTACTGCCAGACCTGTTGAATCAAGAAATCACTTAAATAACAGCTCTCTGATAAAGTGAAGTGCACTCAAAAGATCTCAAAAAGCAACACATCATGCCGCGATGTAAAGAAATTCAGGAACAGATGAGAAACACAGTATTTGATATGTACCAGCCTGGGAAGGGTTACAAAGCCATTTCTAAGGCTTTGGCACTCCAGCGTACCACAGTGAGAGCCATTATTAACAAATGGAGAAAACTTGGAACAGTGGTGAACCTTCCCAGGAGTGGCCGGCCTGCTAAAATTAATCCAACAGCACAACAATGATTCATCCAGGAGGTCATAAAAGAATCCAGAACAACACCTAAGAGCTGCAGGCCTCACTTGCCTTAATTAAGGTCAGTTTTCATGATTCAACAATCAGAAAGAGACTGGGCAAAAATGGCCTCCATGGGAGAGTTCGAAGGTGAAAGCCATGGCTGACCAAAAAGAACACAAAGGCTTGTCTCTCTTTTGCCAAAATATATCTTGATTATCCCCAAGAATTTTGGGCAAGTATTTGGTGGACTGATGAGACAAAAGTTGAACTCTTTGGAAGAATATTTGCGTCCCGTTACATCTGGTGTAAATCTAACACAGCATTTCTTAAAAAGAACATCATACCAGCAGTCAAACATGGTGGTGGTAGTGTGTGTGACGGTCTGGGGCTGCTTTGCAGCTTTAGGACCTGGACAACTTGCCATAATTATGGAACAATGAATTCTGCGCTCTACCAGAAAATCTTGAAGGAGAATGTCTGGCCATCCGTTCATGACCTCAAGCTCAAGCACACTTGGATTATGCAACAGGACAATGATCTGAAACACACCAGCAAGTCCACCTCTGAAATGGCTGAAAAAAAAAGAAAAACTTAAGCTTTTAGTGGTCTAG